TTCACTCCACCGGCTATGAGGTCTGCAGAGCAGCTGCTCTTCATAGGCCAGCCAGTGTCGAAAAGTTTACTACAATACATGCCGCTCAATTTCCAATCACTTGTCCATGGCGGCTCTAGCTAGTGTCTAGTACTCGATGTTCTGATTTACGTTGATGTTATCTCCAACAAACAGTCCATTTTTTCCAGTCAGATACGCACCCCGTCATTCGAAATAAATTGGCCTTCACTAGTCTCCACTGCTTGATCTCCAATTATACTTTTTATCGAAGGGACTCAGATCTGATAAACCTTCGCACAAACATGATTCAAATAAATATCAGACAAAAGCATTTGTAATATGCAACCACAAATCAGATCAGACCAGATCTGCGACGTACGTAAACAAAACATACCTGGTTTGATTGATGTATTGATTGCTATTTAAGCAACACTACCAGCACCGCACCAATCAAAAGCTGCGTTCGTGGGCGAACGCATTTTTTTAAAATCGTGGGGTTTGCGGGCAAGCGTTTCTTTCGCTGCCTTACCCCTCCCCCCTCATTTTTTTTTTTTTTGCTCTAGTCCCAACTTTCTCGACGAACTCACGTGGAAACGCTTGCTATGCAGGCTACTGCCCTGCATAAATCTTTCCAAACTTCTATTCAGAAAAGAATGAGATCAGCTATGTTTATTGTCTCAAAAAATGGAGGCATTTTACGGTATCATAAAGTCATAAACTAGCCCAAGGTAAAAAAAAAATATTCAAAGGAAAGATTTTGGAGCCGTTTAGATAACCGTAACATGTCGAAGCGATGTACGGTGAAGCTGTCTGTAGAGCGACAAGTCAGGCTGTTTTGAAAAGTTGCTAACCGAACAGTACGAATAGAAAGCCTGTTACTGTTGTTTACTTCAGTTCAAGTCTTGTTTTTCGTCCTGAAAACCATTCAGTTATACAATGAACTGCGTTCAATCAAACCGAAAGGTGGGTTTTATTGTAGTCTTCAATTGAACTCACCAGGTGCTTACAAAGTTACACAAAGTACGTACAAAAAGTTTGTTTTCCTTTGGGTGAAAAGAATCTGAAAAACACTCAGTACTTATCAAAAGAAAACTACTGCAATCAATGTCTTTATTTGGATAAACTAGACTTTCAAAATTGTTTTCTTACTATTTTTAACTTGAAAACCATGTATAAATGTTAAAAGCTTATCTGAATCCGTCCTAGTTTTGAAGCAGTACAATTTCTTGCAACTCGCGCGTCGTCGCTTTTGGAAACTAAGCGTTTTTGTTCAGTTTCCTCTGCTTGAGCTTTTTGTAGATAATTCAAACAGGATGCAAGTCTGCCATCAGAAATGTCTGGCTATCTACGAAACTGAACTAAGAAAAACATAGCCTGAGAAAACAGCCGACATTTCCCTACGCCACCATTGGACTCCCCGCGAAATGACGTCTGATAAATTATCGGATAAATTCCATACTGATTACGAGTCACTACCCAGAGCTGGGTAGTATTTCTGATTCGTTAAAGTAAATTACGCGCGGCACGACCAATCAGAAGCACTACCCAAACCCGAGTAGTGACGCGTCATGACAGTATGGAATTGCTGCGCTCGTTTCCTGGCCGGGAATCCAGTGGTGGCGTCGCGAAATTCCGGCTGTTTTCTCAGCCTAAGAAAAATATCGAAGTTTCGCATTCGTCGGCAAATTACCGCGTCTTGCATAAGTTAAAATTTTATGTGTCTGTCCTCTTATTGATCATAAAACTTAGCCAATCAGCGCGCGAGAAATGGTTCAGTTATTGTAAAAAAGAAATCCATATCGGCAGAATATATTCTTCCTAGTTATGAGTTTCGCTGTCACTCGATCTTAGAATATATATATAACAAATTTTCTATAATAGACCAGAGTCCTATAAACTTAAACAAATTTACAAATTATCTAAGCAATGATTTACGTCATAAGTATGGAAATTTTAGAGCCGAATCGCATACGTCTCTCTCGCAGAACACCCCAAGGGGCGGGGAGCGATTGGGGGCAGTTGCATTCGCAAGCTAATTGTTCCTTAACTCACCAGTGTTTCTCTCATTCTGTTCAAGATGTTAAGTGTTTCAATTCTGAAACTGATGTCTTCCCATTGACAATCAATCCAGATACATGGCTTTTCTCCACCCCAAGGCATATATTTGTAATATGAACCGTCAAAGACAGCGTTACATGGACTGGTGTTTAATTGAGCCACAGATTCGTCAAATTTTGTTCCCTTGTTGCCTAAAACAAATCATTAATACATAAACAACTGGCAATGTTAATCAATGCTCAGCTACAGTTTCAAATGCTATTCAAAGTGCTCATTAAATCTGGCGTTTCGAAAAGTTTAGTGTATTTAAATGGAACGGGGGGAAATCAGTTTTGGGTCGAAATTTCAGGAGGTTCTCGAAATTCTGGATGAGAAGAAGAATTCTGAGAAGTCTGGATTCTACTCACCTATATTGAACTCAAATGAGGAACATAAATGGCGAACTTTGTCATGAAACTGTTATATCTCTCGGAAGTGAAAAGTAGAAAAGTTCAGTAGTAAGCTAATCAGTCAACTACTAACCGATGCTGAGTTCAAACTCCACTGGTCCGTCAGTCACTGTGATCATGGTAGCCTCGTGAAAACAAGCAAATAGTGTGAAGTTCGAAAGCTTCTGAAAGGGCTTGAAAAAACAAAAAAGAATAAATTAATCCACGACAATATGTCACGATTTAAGTACTAAATTATGTTTGCATGCTATATTTTTTCATTCATGGAATTCCTAGGTGTTGTAACTAATCTTTCTTTTTTTTAAGTCTTGGAGGGGATCCCATTAACTTGTGGGAAATAAATTAACAGGGGTTTAATCAGATACAACATAAAAATAGATCACAAAATCACCCTACCTTAATCCACATTGACGTTAAAGTGTTTATGTCAATGTAACATTGTTTAAGGGAGTAGGCTATCCCTACTAGACTACTGACAAGAGCCCTCGTCACGATGAAAGTTATAAGCTTCCATTATATTAGACACTTTCTTCAAGTTACCTGAAAGTTTTCTTGCATCTTCTTTTCATCTTCAAATGGTTTCCTGTCTGGTTGAGTTAAGCTTCCATGCAGCGGAAGGGTTTTCAACTCGACAAGAGCACGTCCACGGTAAGCAACACCTTCACCCTGGTAAGAGAGACAAGTTTAATCAAAACCTCTTTTAAAAAGGGTCTGTGTCATGGCTGGTTAGTTAATTTTTTTTTTGATTATTTAACAATTATTGGACGAAGTTATGCAAAATATCGCGATTTGTCAGCGGCGAGCAGATCAGTTATTCGCCGAAGCGGAAAACTGAGGCAGATAATTAATTTGCAAGAAACTTGTTGCGGCTGGGTTCCTTGTTTTCTTGTTTCGCGCCCTTTTAGATCACGTGATGAGTTTTTTTTTTACTGTACGAAGTCACTCGATATATTATATTGGAGCGATTCACACGAAGTAACGACGTTTGAACGCTTGACAACGTATAAATATCCTTGTTTGTAGGGATTGGTTTGCTTTGTCCGAATAAAATGTTAACGCTAGTTTACGAGTGGATTTGCACCTTACAGTTTCTTCGTTTTGCTGTTGGACTGTTGGTTCAATCGAGTCTTGTCAGTCTTATTGATGTCTTCCATTTGCGGAGGTTGTCGACGAAGTGAGCATCTCATCGTAAGCAAATTGTCTGAGCTATTTTCCGTCTATGAGGAATTTTGTTGTGTTGACACATAAAACCGTGCATGTTGTTGAATCAAGTTTGTCCTGTCTGTGTGCGATTGGGCGAGTGTTGACATCGAAAGCGATGAAACGATTGCTGCAGGCGAAAAGGCGACTATTTCGGAGACTGATGTTTCGCCTTGTTATCCACAAGCAAATTCTACAGTCCTAGATGCCTTTCCAATCGAGTCGGGCTACGTGACAAAGGGGAGCGAAACCACGGATTTACCTTTGAACGATCAAGTTGACCTTCTTGGGGCATTGTCGAATAGAAAAGGACTCGGAAGTACGGACAAGACCGTAATCAAGAATCCAAACTCAGAAAGCGCATCTGTTGGCCCCACGAGCATGGGCAGGAAAAGGGAATACAAGTTAACGGAGAGAGGTAACTCCTATGGAGAAGAGCAAGCACAGGACCACCAGGCCTACATTAATTTGCATGAAGAGATAGTTCGCTTGCGTGAAGTGGTTCAGAAATGGATGACCAATGCTGAACAGCAACTCAGAGATGAAGAAGGGGAAAAGAATTCAACCAAGTCAAGTCGGAAGACTAAAAATAGTAAAGCTTCGCGTGCATCCACCACCTCCTCTAGAGCAAGAGCTTTGGAAGCCAAGCCAAAGAAGTTGAATTAAGGACGAGGATTGCACAACTCGATCAAGTGAAAACCGCAAAAAGAGCTAAGTGTGTAATTGCTGCTGCTGTTATCGAAGTCTACGAGGACGCAATAAAGGAGGATGCAGAACAATACCTAGGATCGGATGACCCAGACAAAGATGATGCTGTCATAAGGCCGAGGTCGACTAAAGAAAGACCATAACAACAATCATTTAACTCGGCGACAGGAGACCTTGAATCCTCATGCAACAGAGTTTGTCCATTCTTCCCCGTCACCGTTTGAGCTCAGCTACCCGACTCGCAGACGAACATAAAGATTGTACTACTGTAAAAAATACTTTGCGAAATTTGCAGATGTGTTGAAAATCATCACTAGTTGAACAAGCCCCTTCTAAAAAAGAGACTGTATGTGAACCCCAAGCAACCTTCTGGGAAGGCCGGAACTGAGACTGTCACAGCCACCACCTGAGTCTTTCCCTTTTGATGGCGAACTAGCCAAGTACCGACGGTTTAGAGCAAATTTCCGGGACCAAGTTGAATGTAAAAAAATCACTGTCTGACAGCAAGAGATTGAATTATTTGATGTCCTTCACTACGGGTAGAACGAAAGCAGTAATTGAGAACTACAATGGGTTACCGAATGGATGTCAGTTGGCCCTCAAGGTGTTAGACCACTGATTTGGACAAAGCGCCATGATAGTTCAAGCCTTGAAATCGTCTGTTACCGATGGGCCAAAGATAAGACCTGGAATAACGCTGCACTCCTAGCCTTGTTTGACAACTGAGAACTGTTGCTGGGCAATGTCTGAGTTGCGTTCATGTGAAATTCATCGTACCACAAACTTGAGACAAATCTATGATCGTTTCCCAGGTCACCTTCAAGGAAAGCGGAGAAAGACTGCGATGTTGTATCGCGAGAGGTCAGGTGGATGAGAGCCGGACTTAAAGGAGCTATCCAAGTTTAGTATGTACACACTCAGTGATTTTGGTGATTTAAGCAATCTGATTGGTTCGCTATATCGGGCCATTCAACAATATTCACCTCCTAGCGAGCGGATAATGTGTAAGCTCGCTTTTTCCCCCATTTTTTAGAGAACGATCTTTTAAAAGTCGACAAAATCCTAGGGTTGACCTTTTTTAGGCAAGAAAAGACTTCGAAGGATTCAAAACGGCGTTTTTTCCATTTACTGTAACTAAGTTTTGTGGTCGATGGATTGTTTACAACTCCCGTTTATTCGCGTAGAAGAGGCCGAAGTTTAGTTATGACAAACAAATTTGAAAGCAAATGTTTGCAGAAATTCTACGTTTCAAGTAAATAGGAAAACGAATGCTACATGAAGACGACGTCTTACCTCGAGGAACCTAGCCGCCATAATTTTTTGTCAACACTTCATGCGAAGAACGACACAACAAACCTTTTCGGCTATAAACTTGGCGAGTCAACAGACAACAACAATCGCCTTCTTTTCTTCTCAGGTAAGGAAACAATTCAAACTTTTAACGGTTCCATTAAAGCCATAACGCTGTTGTTTGCGAAGTATTAAACTTGTGAATTGCCATGTTTGAAAATTCTACAAAGATCTATTTTTAAACTTTCGCGTGATTTGATCTGTCAATCTAATCCTGCTTTTTAATGGTTTTCTCTCTGATTTTTGTTGAGATCATTTCGTGTGTATATATAAAAAAACATTCTTTTGAATCTCGGTGAATAGTGGCTTTAGGAATATTTAGCTCGCCGCTTTCGCGGCTCGGTGAATATTTAGCCACTATTCACCTCGATTTCAAAGAATAATTCTTTATTATTACTGCACAGTCGCAGATTGAGAACGACCCGTTGTATGACAGAAAGGTAACCTGAGATCAGGCTCAATTTTCTTTTCGCTTTAATTTGTAAATAACATTCCGGCGGGCAAGGCAAAACGAAAAGAGAGCCTGATACAAGCCTTCTACGAATCGCCTGCCGCCTACTTTTTTGATTGATTGACATTTGCTGAATCAGCCAACCAAAATTACTTCCGGTGCTTTTTTTTTTAGTATGCAAATTTTTCATACGTGGGAAAACTGCAGACTCGCTGACTTAAAAGATAGCTTTTACGTCTTAATTTTTTAAACTAAAAATAAAACAGTGAGCACAATCACATTTAACTTCTTACGAGATTAAAGGAGACCTCGGAGGTTATTTCTATTGGCATTGAAGGTAAAAAGTCTTAGAAAGACGTAAAAGACGGCGACACGCTGTTCTAGTTCTAATATTTTGGCTAGGCACGCTCGAATTTGAAATACTGAAATTTCTATTTTTCTGTTGCCTTTATATTTTCCTCTGCAATTTTGCCCGATTTGTAGTACATAAATCTTTAAAAATCTTGGAGAAATAAATCGCGAACTTTTTCAAAGGATATATAAATTATATCCGAACAAACCAAACGAGTTCTGAAGTACATTTAATTTAGCTGGTTTAGTCCCGTGAGTTCACACGCAATTTGCGAATTTACTAGCGAAACAAACGTCTGAAAATATATATTTTTTTTAAATCCAGGTAAACATTATCTGCAATTTGAAAAGACGAAACGACACTACTAAAAATGCATGCTCAACTGACCTATAAACAAAACGAAAAACAATATTACAAACACACTGTGTTGTTGTTTTACTGCAGGTCTGAAAAGCTCGCTAAATTTATTAATTGAAATTAACAAACAGCAAACAGCCAACGAACGAGGACACCAGTTTTCCTGGTTAATTTTTTACAAAAAGCGAAGGCAAACAACAAATCTGTTACCTTAAGACTAGCGCCACTAGCTTATAATAATGCCTATAAAAAATTCCTTGAACAGCGATGCGATATTTTTCGTCTAATATTTCACCGTTGGCGATTGAGGTTTCTATAGCAGTAAGCCTCCGCTTGCGTAACCCGTTCAGAGAAGTCATTCCCGGCTAAGTTCAAATGAAACCAATTTAAGAAGGACACTATTTTGATTTGCACTCGTTTGTTGGTAAATCAAAATGCACCTTGTTAGCGGTCAACAGCTTGCAGAGGGACAAAACTCCGCGATACACTTACATTAGTTCCGTAAATAAAGCAAATCCTGAGAAGATATGAACAACCATATGCATTTTCGGAATTTCCATGGCACATATTGAGGCATATTTTCCTACCATAAGACCATAAAAAAATAAAAAAGACAGCAAAAGCGATCCTTCTCTCCGCCGACGGCGGATCTTTCACGAAACCAACCACGCGAGGAGTAAGCGCTTTCAGCTTCCGGTGATTCCGATAGCTAATCAGATCTTGTGGCATTGTTCTAACAGCCAATCAGCGTTACGGCCAAAATCTGGGCACAAACGTGAGAGAGTTTGTATCAGGCCAAATTTTAGCGTTACCCGTTATAGAGAATGTATGAGAACCGCTAAAATTGGGCCTGATGTCAGGTTAGCAGAAAGGGTGAATCACAAGCAAAGTTGTTTAGTGTTGGCGGGAACCCCAGTAAAACAGCACTTGAAGAAAGGGCTGGTCCGACGATCCCCACTCTATCAACAGAGGTCTGGACACAAAAAAAACGGAGGTAATCGCGGAACAAAGAAACCCGTAACTGCCAGTGAGCAAGGAACTAATGGAGCAACCGCCATCAAGGTGAACACTGTAAGGTCTGCAAGGGAGCCCATGCTATCTCAAAGTGTTTGGTGTTCCTGTCTAAGGGCGTAGGTTGGCGGAGACGATTTGGAAGGTTTAAGTCTCTTTGCTACCGATGTCTGTCTCACACTCATTTGCAAAGGAACTGCCCAGAAAAGACCAGTTGTAATGANTGTTTAGTGTTGGCGGGAACCCCAGTAAAACAGTAAAACTTGAAGAAAGGGCTGGTCCTACGATCCCCACTCTATCAACAGAGGTCTGGACACAAAAAAAACGGAGGTAATCGGGGAACAAAGAAACCCGTAACTGCCAGTGAGCAAGGAAGTAATGGAGCAACCGCCATCAAGGTGAACACTGTAAGGTCTGCAAGGGAGCCCATGCTATCTCAAAGTGTTTGGTGTTCCTGTCTAAGGGCGTAGGTTGGCGGAGACGATTTGGAAGGTTTAAGTCTCTTTGCTACCGATGTCTGTCTCACACTCATTTGCAAAGGAACTGCCCAGAAAAGACCAGTTGTAATGAAAAAGACTGTGGCCGTCCACAAGATCACCACTAACTGTTGCATACTTCGACGAAAAAAGGAGATTGAGGATGTTAAAGGTAGTCCTGAGCAGAGTTCCCTGGTAGTGTCCAATTTGTCAGTCAACAATGCAACGACAGAAAATAACAGGAGGATCTTTGTATTGCTCAAGGTCATTCCACTTAGAGTGACTGCTGAAAATGGGAGAACACTTACTACGTATGGTATGTTAGACTCAGCTGCTGCTAGCTCAATGATCACTTCTAACATTACAGACAAACTGCAACTTCAAGGAGTTCCAGAGAACGTTAGCATTAACACTGTCACTCAAAGAGGCCAAAATCTTGAACTATGCAAGGTTAAATTGCAGATCAGCTCAGCGAGCCAAGGCGGTGCCTTCCCAGTGTATCACGCCTTGACAGTGATAGGTGCAAATATGGTGCAAAAAAGTGCAAACTAGGGGGAAATCAATAGCAAAGATGGTAAATATCACATTTGCCTGCCACTTTACATGGGGTTGTAAATTTGAGGGCAAATGCGCTATTTACCATCTTTGCCCTTTATTTAACTTTCTTAGTTTGCACTTTTTTGCACCAAAATTGCACTGAGTAAATTTGGTGTGAGTCAAATTTTTCGTGCAGTGTTGTGGTGGAATGGTAGTTCAGACGAACCACCTAGTGACTATAAGATGATAGTACATTTTTTCGGGAAGGCAGATTCGCCATGCATTGCTGCTTGGGCATTACAGCAGACTGCTCCAGACGAGGCTGCCATTGGAGAAGAAATTCGTGAAATTGTCAAGAAAAATTTCTAGCATGTAGATGAAAGCTTGTTCTCGAAGCTGTCGACAGAACAGGCAGTGAATTCATCATTGGAACTGATGCGAATGTTACGCAACGAGAATTTTGGCCTGGCTAAATTCATTTCAAATGACAAAGATGTATTGTCTGCCATTCCAGCCGAGGAAAGAACAATCAAGAATCTTGACCTGGATAAACTTCCTGTAGAGAGAGCCCGCGGAGAACAATGGAACATTGATACCTATACGTTTGGTGTAAAGACATCGCCGCCATCAGGTCGAACCGGGAATGACACACGGTGAGGGTGTTTGTCTTCAATGAGCTCGATCTTTGATCCTCTTGGTATGATTGGACCAGTCCTGTTGCCAGCAAAAAGAGTCTTACAGAAGACTTGGCAGCTAAAGCTCCATTGGGATGAGAAGTTACCTGAAGACTTGTTGAAGGACTGGAATAAGTGGAAGCTGCTCAATCATGTGTCTATTCCGCGTAGCTATTTTCCTTATGGCTGTTCCCTCGATGCTACGTTCCAACTGCATCACTTCAGTGATGTGTCAGAGGTTGGATATGGAACTGTACTTAAGAGGAGAAACTGTAGACGAAAGAGTTGATCGCTCCTTTATCATGGCCAAGAGTCGTACCGTCCCTCAACAGTTCGTGTCTGTGCAAAGACTTGAATTACAAGCTGCCACAATTGCCGTAAGAATGCATCGTCTGATCCTAAAGGAGATTGGCCTGGTGATGTCAGCTTCGTTCTTTTGGACCGATTCAAAGATAACGCTGCAGTACATCAACAAGGAGACACACAGATTTAAGACGTATGTTGCCAACAGAGTAGCAGAAATTAGAGACGCTTCTCAGCCCTGTAACTGGAGACATTGCCCAGGGAGCCTCAACGCAGCTGACGAAATGTCCGGTGGCATTCCATCACAACGATTCCTAACGCGCGAAAGACGGTTCAAGGGTCCTGTTTTTCTTATGAAGCCTGAAGAAGACTGGCCATGTTATGAAATTGAGTTTCTTGCCGAAGACGACCAAGGACTAAAGGGTGAAAGAGCTATATTTACTCTGACTCTACCAGAGAAATTGAATGAGTTGCTTGTGAAGTATTCCTCTCGGACAGAGCTCCAACGAAAGGTAGCCTGGCTGCTGAAATTCAAGGCGTACCTTCAGTATCGTAAAGAAAAGAAAGCAGATATTGAGAAGGACCTGACTACGGCGGTTCTGGAGAAAGCAACATTGACTATAGTTAAACTAGTACAAAGAGAAGTATATGCAGCAGAAATACAGGATTTGGAGACGAGAGGCCATGTCAAACGTTCGAGCAAGATTGTAAAGCTCTGAACTATATTGGATGACTGCGTCTGAGTTGGAGTTGGAGTTGGGGGTCGAATTGCAGATACCCCTATCGTGTTCAATGCCATATTCCCCATGATTGTTCCATCAAAGCACAATGATTGCAAGCTTTCATCAGAAATTATTACATGCTGGACAAAATCACATCCTTGCGCACTTGATGGAGAAGTTTTGGATACTTAATGGGAGGTCTGCCGTACGTACGGTTGTGATATCGTGCATGACATGCAAAAAAAAGAGAGCGGCAACCATGGAACACATGATGTCCCCCTTACCAGCAATTTCGCACCACAACCTTTGAGCCGTGCTTCGCGTATACAGGAGTGTACTACTTTGGCCCTCTGAATGTTAAGAAGGGAAGATCAGTTGTTAAGAGATGGGGAGCAATATTCACGTGCATGAATTCTAGAAAAAAAAAACATCAGGGGCTGGTCACTTCTCTCGAGTCTGACTGTTTTATTAATTTCTTCAGAAGATTTGTAAATACAAGAGGGCCACCCCAATTTATCTTCTTTGACAATGGGACCAATTTTGTGGGTGCCGAGCGGGAGATCAGACAAGCAATTGAAAATTGGAACCAATACCAAAATCAGAGATGAACTCCTGCGGAGAGGGTGCCAGTGGGTGTTTCAGCCACCTAAGGCTTCTCATGCCAGTGGGTTATGGGAAAGGCTGATATGTAGCACTCGAACCGCCCTGAAAGCGATGCTTGGAGAAAGTCTAGTGGGAGAAGATGTACTGGCGGTTGTCCTGACAGAAGTAAGGGCAACCCTTAATTCCAGACCTGTTTGTGCCGTTTCAGACGACCCTAACGACCTTCAACCATAACACCAAACCACCTGTTGTTGCAGAGAACAGTACGTAAGCACCTTGCCGACTGGAACCTTTGTGAAAGAAGATATGCTGTTGAGAAAGAAATGGAGACAGACGCAGATGTTGGCTGACTATTTTTGGAGACGACGGCTGAGGGAGTACGTTCCAGCCCTACAGGAGAGAAAAAAATGGCACAGACCTCGACGAAACGCGCAAGTTGGAGACCTATTACTTGTAGTGGATCAAGACCTTCCAGCGGAAGTGGCATTTGGGCCGTATCGTAAAGGTGACTCACGGAAAGGATGGGCTCGTGCGAACAGTTGAAGTGAAGACCGGATCTTCCTCGTTGTTGTTGCGGCACATATAGAAACTCTGTCTGTTAGAGGAATCAGAGAACCTCTACCGTGATTAAGACTGATTAGGATAAAGTATTGGACACTGACATTGTTATTGCCACTTATTGACCCGAATAATAGGTTTCTTTTTGGGAACTCACGCCTAACTTGTTATTTTTAAATGCTTCACTAAGTTTCGCATGGGGGGGGAGTGTTGCGGCTGGGTTCCCTCTTTTCTTGTTTCCCGCCCTTTTAGATCACGTGATGAGTTTTTTTTTGTTGTACGAAGTCACTCGATATATCATATTGGAGCGATTCACACGAGGTAACGACGTGTTTTAACGCTTGACAACGTATGTATATCCTTGTTTGTGCGGATTGGTTAGTCTTGTCCGATATATATATGTATATATATATCTTAATCACAAATGGAGACAGAAAACAGTTTCCTTTCAATCCGATGGTGGATTGAAAGGAAACTGTTTTCTGTCTTCATTTATGATTAAGATATATTTGTGTTTATGAGGACGGGAGAGAGCGAGAGAGAGAGAGAGAGAGAGAATACTTCATGGAAAGTGCTGGCGTACGGTATTTACGCACGAGTAGTTGACGTATCAGAAATTGAACGAGTGAGCGCAGCGAACGAGTAAGATTTCTGATACAAAAATAACGAGTGCGTAAATACCGTACAAAGCACTTTCCATGTGGTATTGTGTTTATTATATACATACTGAGACATCATCATTTTGGCGGCTTTTTTATTTTAAATCTTTCAAAAATGCTAAAATTTGCCGCTACACACTTACCGCAAAATGACAACGAAAACGAAGTATCAGCTTTTTAGTAAAAACGTTCGTTAAAAACATAAATGACGGTGAGGATATGAGGTAATCCAAGAACCATAAGTAATCTCAACTGTTTGTTCTCAATGCACAATTGAAAATGAGTGAATTTAAGTAAAATGGCCAGTTTCAATATAAACTTAAGCTTAAATGAAAGGCAAAGTAGCTCCGACAAAAAGCACAACAAAAGCTTACGTCTCGTTCTGTTTATCCCTTTCCGCTGTTGTTTCACGGGCTCTCTACCGTTTTCTTTATCGACAGTGAAACAAACGAAACTATTCCCACTCCATTTCCGAAATGTTTATCACTTTTTTAGCGAGAAAAACTCTTTGAGTAAAACTTTTCTCGTTGAATGTGTGCGAAGCGGCGCTGCAAGCTGCAATAAAAGGCGGCAATTTTGGCGCGAAACCCACACACCTCTGTGCCTTCTGATTGGACGTATCATTTTTCTCACACGTGAAAAAACATCGTTCGCGATTCTGATTGGACGTATCATTTTTTTTCACGTGTGAAAACCATCGTTCGCTCCTCTGATTGGCTAGAACTAATTTGCGTACGAAAATTTACGACATAGCTTTTTGGTGAGTATTTCTCAGTATGTATATAATAAATATATATATATATCCTTGTTTGAAGGGACTAGTTTGCTTTGTCTGAATAAAGTGTTAACGCCAGTTTACGAGTGTATTTGCACCTCACAACACTGACAAATCACGCTATTTTGCGATAACCGAGTTCAATAATTGTTTTATCTTAAGATGAGCGAGTCTTTTATAATAATATATATATATATTATTATTATTATTATTATTATTATTATTATTATTATTATTATTTGCGAAACAATCTGCCATCTTCACGCAAAAGCGATGGCAAGAAGGAGAAAAACGTGGTTTCATTTACGCATGAGGAGAATATTATTTGCAGCCAAACACAGTTGGACGACATTTCGCATGAGCAGACCATAATTTGTAGGCAGTTGTTTGCAGGTCACGTGGAGGGCTCTTGTCCAATGAAAAGGAAGACAAATTTGCACCGAAAGATAATGCCAATTACGTGTCCTGTCCTTATCCGATAAGGATCGTAAATAAACAAAATAACAAACAAATGTGTATCCCAAACATAACATGTATATCGAACGTTACAAGAAAAATGAACTTTAAAAAAACTGTTAGGTTAACACGTTGTCAAAAGCCACGATGCCGGTCTGTTTCAATCTTCTTTACAATTTATCCATCCGTGCCATATTTTGTATTTTCTGCGTTATTCATTCTCTATTTTAAAATGTTTTGAGCAGTTATTTTCTTGTTTCCCTCAATTTCGCGGCAATTCCCAATGTGTGAATTTGGCAAATTTCGTGACACAGTTTGTTAATAACTACATATAACACTGTCAGCCCAGCTAACAACACCTAAAATGCAGCCTTCCCCTACAAAAAAGTCGGGTGCAATTAGAGCCTTCTCACTTCATTCAAAGTCACTAGGGATGTGTAGAGAGTCTCGCCTCGAAAGACGATGAGAAATTCGTGCGTAGCGAATTTGTTTATCTCTTTAATATTAACTCTGAATTTTCTTAATTCACTTTCTTTCCTTTTTTCAGGACGCATTTTTAAAGGAGCTGTGTCACGGCGGTCCAGTTCATTTTGTTTAATTTTGCCAATTACTCGCCCTCAATCACTATGGAATTTAAAATAAGTAAAGAAATTACATGTAAGTGACAAAATGAGAGATCCGAGACAAACAAATATGTCTCCTGACCATTATCTTTGAAGTTGCAAGCAGCAGGGATCAACTTTGAAAAACTGTGAGGCTGAACAGTTTTCAAAAAGCCTAATTTCAATCCGTTTCAATCTTCTTCAGTTTTGCCCATCCGTGACATCTGTTGTATCTGTTATGTTATTTTAACCTTCCTTTAAAGTTTTAAGCGGTTATTTCTGTTTCTCTTAATTTAACGGGCATT